AGAGGATCCCACAACAACAACAACAATAATAATAATAATAATAACAATAATAATAATAATAACAATAATAATAATAATAACGATGATTATTTCTTCCATTAGGTGAAGGAGCTTGCTATTAATCTTCATCGTATTCTGTTGGATACTGTTAAAATGAAGTCATTCCAAAACATACGAATGTACATGTACATGTATATCTAATATATTTAATGTTTATAAATGTCTCTTTTTCTTTCGTCTCTGACAGGATCATGAGATGTTAATGGATCTGATGTACAGAATATCCAAAGGGTAAGAGAGAGAGAGAGAAGAGGAGGGATTCATGTACATGTGTATATGTACATGTAAAATTATTTCTTCCTCTTATAGTTATCAAACGTCTCCTGATCTTCGTCTCACGTGGCTACAGAACATGGCCAAGCAGCACAACGAGGTACTCGCCTTAATTTAACCCTCTCTATTTAATGCCCACCCACAGAAAGATCACTATACTGAGTCAGCAATGTGTCTGACACATGCAGCTGCTCTGGTGGCGGAGTACCTGTACATGTTGGACGGGTCACAACACCTTCCGGTCGGCTGTGTCACGTTTCAAAAAATATCACCAAACATGTTAGAGGAGAGTGCAATATCTGATGATGTCATTAATCCAGTGAGGGAGCCACACCCACTAATTAATATTTATGTGACACACCTGCTAATTAATATTCATGTGACACACCCACTAATTAATATTCGTGTGACACACCCACTAATTAATATTCATTATAGGACGAGGAAGGTATTGCTACCAGTAGATTATTCACTGAGTCTGGACTCATTGGACTATTAGAACAAGCAGCTCCAATGTTTAGAGAAGTACGTGTCACATGATCGTCACATGACAATAAAGAATACATGTACATGTACATATTCATTACCTTTTCTTTCTCTCTCTCTTAGTCTCAGTTATATGAAGCAGCTGCTGAGATATATAAGTTAGTAATTCCTCTGTACGAACACAGGAGAAAGAACCACAGTTTAGAGTCGGTTTATAACAAGCTCTCGGACTGTTACAAGAGCTTGGCAAAGAAAGGGGACAGGAGGTTCCTTGGGAGTTACTTCAGGGTCGGGTTTTATGGTTTCTGGTTCGGAGACCTTCACATGAAAGAGTTTATATACAAAGAGGAGGCTCTAATGAAACTGAGCGAATTCTCTTTAAAACTAGAGGTATTGCAGCTGCAATGTACATTGTACATGTACATGTACATGTACATTTATGATTGTTAAAAAATGTTAAAATTTAATCAAATTATGTTCATTTTCTGTTTCAAATTTTAGAAGTTTTATAGCTAATATTACAATCATTTCCTCTTCTTTTTTTTCTTAGAACCTTTACAGCGAGCAGTTAGGTTCTGAAAAGGTTGAGATCATCAAAGACTCAAATGAGGTCGACACTTCAAAACTTGATGGAGGAAAGGCCTACATACAGGTGACCTATGTAGAGCCGTATTTCGAGGACTGGGAACTTAAGAAGAGACTAACAGTATTTGACAAATCATTCAACATCAGTAAGCAATGATACTATTAATAGCATTAAATTTATAATTAGTAACACTTCTATTTTAACAGTAATGTTACTATATATAGCATTCAGTCTATAATTAGTAACAATGTTCTATTTTTAGGACGTTTCTTCTTCAGTACCCCATTCACACCAGGTGGTAAAGCTCATGGTGAACTCCACAATCAGTGGATGAAGAGGACAGTACTCACCACCGAGAAGAGTTTCCCGTACGTTAAAAGGCGTCTTGAGGTCATAAGGACTGATACTGTTAAGCTTAAACCTCTTGAGGTAGCCATTTTGAATATGGAATCAAAAATACACGAACTGAAGGCTGTCCTCAATCGTACTCCTTGCGATTCAAAACTACTTCAAATGCAGCTGCAAGGAGGAATAGCTACAGCTGT